ATTAAATCATGAATATCATCGCATTTCGATTTAGATTTACCTGTAGAACTGCTAACTGACATCCTCATGGCTTCTCAACTATTTGATTTGACAATGATGCCAACACTATCAACGCACATATCTCATCATCAAAATCAATTTCAACAGATGACAATTGATTTGTGATAGTATTGAAATCATTCAGGTGTTGAGCAACAGAAATACCTTCAGCCATCTTCAAATTAAATAACTTCTTCATCAAGTACACCTTATTTTTCGCCGATAGCCGATGACTTTTCATATATACCTAATAAGGCTGTCATGAGATCTGCAGTCGTCCTCTCCTTGACGACGCTGTGTGCAACAGACCTCGATATGGTCAATCGAATAACCCTTAGAACTTGTCGATCTAACAAATTCTATTCAGCCTCATCCATTCTTTCAGGTCTTTTTTCCAATAATGGAAGATGAAGTTTCTTCCCATAGAAGTAGTCATCTATCTGTATTCCCCAATAATTAAAATATGTGCCATCAAATTTCTCAATTCTTAAAATCTTCACTTCATCTGCAGTCATTATTCTTCCTCAGATCCGAACAAAGCTCTGATATCAGTTGTTGCAAGATATACCACCAGTTAATGTGGCATATATATAAATCAAACAGAAGAACGATCGACGAACCGAAAAAATAGAACGAGAAAAATTACACCATAAAAGAACACACAAATTTACATGGTTCGACAAATTGTCTACGTCCACGGAGTTGCAAGGATTTTACTACTTGAGGAATTTACACCAGTCGGACTTACAAGAAGAATCTCTCACTTCGTTGCTCTCACTTCTTCTCTCTCTTTTCTTCTCTCTCTACACCGAGATACACCAAAAAAAATCTACACCTAGATACACTGAAGAAGATAAACTTACAAGAGAAATAAATCCAATTTCTTCTCTGCCGCAAGCAACCAAGAAGTTAAGGAAGAACAATCTTCTTTTTCTTCTTTCTTCTTCTTTCTTCTTCTTTCTTCTTCCTTCACCGCAAGGAACTACACCTTGAGGAAGCCCCTTCCACTGTCCCGTGAAAGTCCGAAGAAGAACTGTGTCGTGACTTCTAAACTTCAAGGAGAACCGTCTGAAGTCTTTTTATTGCGAAACCGGGCGCGGGAGAGTTTGAACGATACAAAGCGAATCTTGGCTTCGCGACAGAGAATCGCTGGCGCCGATTCGCGAAACGTGAGGAGCGGGAGCGAGCGGGAACATGTATCACGACAGAGGGTGGCGCTGATTTGCGAAAACGGGAGCGGGAAGCGGGAGCGGGAGATTGGGAGGCGGGAGCGGGAAAAAGGATCGGACTTCAGCGCTAACATGTTTGCCCCAAAGATCACCTTTGTTTTGGTGTCCACTCTCATTTTCAACATCTTATACATAAGATTATGTTTCTTCAATTTTCTTTCGCTGTCTGATTTCTTCATTGAGGATGAGACTTTTGATGCAGTGAACTTTATAGAAGTTGGTCCATAAAAACTTTTGACAACTGTCATAACATCATCCTAGATTTTGGGCAATGATGAATGCAAACACAAGGTATAGATCGCATTGTTAAACCTGATGTTCATCAAGTTTAACCATCTCATGTTGAGTTGAACTCTTTGACTTGTTAAGTCAATTAAGCGCATTCAGATGTAATGAGACTAAAAGAATCATACATTATTTATACCTTGTTGATGATAAAATTATTCTTATGTATGCTTGAGAGTGCTTCCATTTATTTCTGTTGTAGTTGTCTTATTCAGTATGTTGAAGGACACAAATGTTGATGGGTACGAGTATAATCCCTAATACTTGTATGTTCATTAGCTTTTTTTCCTAATCAATAGACTGCGGCTTAATTCCTATCAGTGGTTTATGAAACCTTGTGCTTGAGATAGTCTTGTATTTACATTTCATAGAACCTAAAGTTCTCTCTCATTTATTTCTTTTTTAGAACCTACAGCTTTGGCCACTAAATTTGTCAATTTGATCTCATTTTTGTACACCTGTCATTTCCACATATTCTCTTAAATCTTAATAACTTGGCTATAATACCAATTGTTAGGAAAGGTTATACTTGAGCCATATTAGACACAATTATCTGAGTGTAAGAAGCCTATATGTAAGACACCAGAATAAACAAGACACGGATATTATGTGATTTGGTGGGATCCATTTACCTTTTATGGTCATATAAAGAGATAAATGTTTACTTGTTGGGAGATGAGTTACATGATACAACTTTTTCACACCCCAAAGATTTCCACTCTCTCATTGGCTGTTCTTCTCTCTACCCCTTTCTCTTGCTTTTAAGTTCCAGTAAAACACCAACTCAGAAGTCTTCAAAGCTATTTTAACAGGAAAGCAAAAAATGATTGATAAAGAAACAATTCTTTATCATATATGTTTGTGTGTGTGTGTGTGTGTGTGTGTGTGTGTGTGTGTGTGTGTGTCTTTATTATTTTATAAATTCCTTTTACTTTATCATTTCCATACCATTTGTCTTTCCCAACCATTTACTCCTGGTTGTCATTGTTGCTAACCACTGAAGCCGTCCCCCACCAACACCTTCATTCCTTTTCTTTAGAACTTTCAGCTGAAGTTGTTTTACTCAAATTATGTCGATAATGTCTACAGTTGGTAGGAGAAAATCATGTGTAACTATTATGTGGTTAGCTATAGAAACAAAATTTGACACAACATCCGATCATGATGATGGCATGAATAAATCCAAAACATTCCAAATTTAAATCACTATAAGAGTATAAATTGGTAGGGAATAAGGGAGTATGCGGCAAATTATTCTCCGCATCAACTTAGCAATATTCCTTCACTTACAAACAATTCAATAGCCAAGAGTTCTTTTTAGAACATTTGATTGCCAGAGTTGTTAAGAGTAAATGTGAAGATTCATTGAAGAAGAAATATTAACTTTCTAGTGTGAGTTTTGGTTAACTACTGCCCACCAAATCTATGTATATCCGTAAACAAGTACTGCATTAGATCTGATGTGTGCCCTTTGAAGCTGGAAATAAACAACAATGTGTTGAGCAACAAACATTCAGAAGATTCTTATATATTTTTCCAAGTTTTTTGTGCTTACTAAACTTGATTAGGTGCTAGGGAGAATATTGAAGAGGAGGATTGAAAACGGTTGGATTTGCATATCATAAATTCTATGATGAGTAGCAGAAATATGGTTTAGTTAGAATTTGAATATATCATTCCAAAGGAAGCTCATTTCATATTGATTAGATTTGGTTTTGATAAAACATTTGTTCATGTCAAATTTCATGATTTTTTTTTGGAACCCTTACTCTTTAATGTGATGCGAGGAGTACCACGTGCGAAGCGGAACTCGTGTTCCGCATGAAATCAAGCAAGGTGCGATTTCAGGCTTCTCGATTCTAATAAATTGAGGGCCGATTTGTCCTCTTTCTTTATCTTAGATTTATATATGTTCTATCATAGGTGGGGGGTGGGGGAGTTTTTTGTGTTATTCATTAGGACAGCTGTTGGGGTCGATGAATAGTAGAAATATGGTTTAGGTAGAATTTGAATATACTATTACAAGGAAGCTCATTTCATATCGATTATATTTGGTTTTCATAAAACATTAGTTCATGTCAAATTTCATGAATAATTTTTTTTGGAACCCTAACTTACCCCTTAATGTGACGCGGGGAGTTCACGTGCGAAGTGGAACTTGCGTTCCGCATGATATCGAGCAAGGTGCGATCCCAGGCTGTTCAATCCCGATAGATTGAGAGCCGATTGGTCATCTATCATATGTGGGGGTTTGTGTTTTTCGTTAGGACAACCGTCGTCGTCCATGTTTTTCTCTTCTATGGTTGTATCCGATTCTTGGTGGTGCTCAAGCCGTATCTCATCCGAGGTGGTAATTATCCTCAATCTTCCCATTTTTCTACAACCTTCTCTCCGATGCCACTGTCATATTCTCTGAAGTCACCTAGAAAAAACCACCTTGCGTTCCTATAGTCTCCAGCCGCCTCCGCTTTCTCTCCCTTCATTGTTGTCCCCTAAGCCACCCTTTCCAACGTCATTCCATCCCTCTCACTTTGTTGTCGCAGCCCAGTACACCCACGGAACACCACCTTCTTGTCGTTCCTCCGCTACCCACCCCAACTCCTCACTGTTTTTCTGCATTTTTGCTCCCTTTGCAACAACTAGCGTCCTTTTGCTGCCGCCACACTCACCAGCCATTATGATCCACCTAGCTGATCTCCACCATTCTTGGGATACGCTTTGGGGATGTTTGCTTGTGTCTGTTGTTGTGTTTCCTTTCAAGTGTGTTTTGTTGTAATCATCTATTTGCTTTCAATAATAAAAATTGCTTTCCTAGCGCTGCCTTAGGCTAACTCACCGATCATAATATTTGGAAGATTTACATACATACCACTAAATTCCTATATATTTACATATCTAGCATTTAAACATCAATTTTTGACATACAAGCCATCTTTCCTAGGCATGCAAAAGATGTTTTTCACTTTTTAAAAGTTAAAATGGTGTTGTAGATCTGACATAAAGATTTAGGTGATAGAAATGTGAAAAGTAAAGTTTAGGTGTTAGATATATAAATACATTGGAATTGGGTGGTATATGTGAATGCCTCTTTTTGTTTCTCTTACCTTTTGATGTTTATATGCGCATGATTTCATCTATTCTATCAAAAAAGGCTTTTTTTTTTTTTGAGATCCTTTCTTTCAGGAAGTAGCTTTAAAAGAAAGGAGACAATTTTATTTTCAATTATGGTTAGAAAATGTTATAATTTTTTTTTTCTAGATATTTTTGTTATATTAGTTGTAGCATTTTTAAATATTTGATTTAACTTTTGTTTTACCTGTAAAGATTTAGCAGGTTTCTCCTTTTTTTTTTCCTTTCATCTTTTGTTTGGAATAGAATGCATGCTTTGGAAGTAAGCTTTGTTTTATATTGTTAATGTAACGTTGTTAATGCTTATTGGATTTATAGGCCTCTCTTAGCAATTCATCATTGAACAGCATGGCTGGGCAGTCAGCGAGTCCCCATCCGAGAAGCAGATCTCCACAACCACTAGAAAGTCAACGAGAACAAATTTCTCCTAAAAAAACTATTAGCGTCGGCCCGAAAAGTGGTCGTGGAAGTGAACCCGAGGAAGGCCCTTTTGATATTTGTCGGCCCGCAATTGGAGGCCCCATCGGATTAAAGAAATCTCATCTTATTTTAAACACAGAGAAAAGAAAGGAAATTGAACCAGTAGAAAGTCGACGAAAACAAATTTCTCCTAAAAAAACTATTAGTGTTGGTCGGAAAGGTGGTCGTGGAAGTGAACCTGAGGAAGGCCCTTTTGATATTTGTCAACCCGCAATTGGAGGCCCCATCGGATTAAAGAAATCTCTTCTTGTTTTAAATAGAGAGAAAAGAAAGGAACTTAAACGTGTCAAAACGATACAATATGTAAGGCCTGGAATGGTCTTGTTGAAGAATTTTATATGCCAGATGGATCAGGTCCGTGTTTTTCCTTTGCTTTTACTATAACAAAAAGCCTCATGTTTTATAGAACATTATCAATGCTATAAATTATAAAGGTTCATGCTTTGCAAAAAAAATATTATTTATCCATAACTTCTATTTTGGTCGTTTGTATAATGCTTAGTACTAAGGCAATGTAATCTGTTTGATGGGAAACTCTGTTTTTTGTATATAGGGGTTGTCATTCTGTCGATTTGGATGGATTGATTTCTAAGAGGGTCGAATTGATTGCAACTGAAGTTGCAAATTCAGAAAATTAAACCAATCTAAATTTTGATAAAACAAAAATTTAATTTGGTTTAAACGATTCGATTATGGACAAATTAAAATTTAATTGTTTGTTAGAGTTCAGTAGTGAAAAAATGACATGAATTACATATCTTACATGCATAATATTGATTTAATTTAATGAATCCTCTATTTAAGTTTGAAATTTTGATTTTTTAATTAAATGAAAATCAAAATTGAACCAATAACTGAAAATCGAATATTAAGGTTTTAAAAACCAGAAAACGAAATGCTTTTTAAGCCGAATCTAATCTACTAAATTGTTTGGTTCGGTTTTGTTTTTCGGTTTTAACCAAATAATGCACACCCTTGGTTATGGATGCTACGGAGTTATCGTTTTTGCATGTGAAAATGAAGCCAAAATTTTATTGATTGTTTTGATTTTAGGAAAAAATTGTGAACAAATGCAGCGAGCTCGGTAGAGGTGTGGGAGGTTTTTATACGCCAGGATACAGGGATGGGGCAAAGCTACATCTGCGTATGATGTGCCTCGGCCAGGATTGGGATCCTGAATCAAGATCTTATGGTAAATCCCGTTCGGTAGATGGTGCTGTGCCACCGGAAATCCCGCAGGAACTGAGAAAACTTGTGGATGAAGCATTGAATGCTTCTCATGAATTTTTAAGGGAAAAAGGAAAAAATGTGGAAGAAATTCCAAAAATGTCACCAGATATATGTATAGTCAATTTCTACAGCAGTAGTGGCAAACTTGGTCTACACCAGGTAATTGGTCTGCACCTCATATTTGGGCTTTTCCTTATTTAGTTATTTTTTTGGCTAATTCTGTTTTATTGAAAGTAGACCTGTGCTGTACTGTAGAATTTGAGGAAAACATCATTTTGTGGTATGCATGTGAATTTTATCTAATTTTATTAATTAGATGGTAGTGAGATCGGCAATGGTTTATAACGCAGAATGTTTGCTTTTAAATGAGAAGCATAAAATAAAGTTAAAGTCTTGCTGAGATGAGAATGCTTTGGTGGATAAGTAACTTGATACTTAGAGACAAAATGCGAACAAATATATTTGTGAAAGGCTTGGTATAGCTCCACTTGCAGACAATATTATAAAGAGTAGTCTTATATATTTTGGCCATATTAAACGTCGATTATCTGATGATGCAATTAGGAGACTTTATGTTTTAGATTCATTTTATGTTAAGAAAGGCAGAGGTAGACCGAAAAGACTTTGGCATACTATATAATAAATGATCTTAATCTATTAGAATGAAATAAAAATATGACACTCAATAGGACATAAATGGAGAAAAAAAGATTCATGTACCCGACCCCACTTGGTGGGATAAAGGCTTATTGTTGTTGCTTATTTTTTTTTAATTTCTTAAACTTGCAGGACAGAGATGAGGGTGAAGAAAGCCTTAGAAAGGGCTTACCTGTTGTTTCTTTCTCCATTGGAGACTCTGCTGCGTTCCTCTACTCTGACGAAAGGGGTGTGGAGAAAGCTGAGATGGTGATGCTTGAATCTGGTGATGTTCTTATTTTTGGCGGCTCATCGAGGCATATCTTCCATGGAGTTCAATCCATTCAACCCAATACAGCACCTGAGATCCTCATTGAGAAAACAAGGCTCCGTCCAGGTCGCCTAAATCTTACTTTCAGGCAGTACTGAGAAAAAAAAACTGGATCAGGATATCCGGAGATAATTTTAGTTCAGTTTGAGCTTGAAAATCATTGAATTTGCTTCCAGATATCTTGAATAATACTAATCTTAAAAGTAATTCAATGATTTTTATGTTCGGATCAGAATTATTTGCGGATATCCTAATATAGGTTTTTCTCTTACTAAAGTATCTCTTTTGAAATGAGGTATGGTTTTGTTCCCTTGAAGTATTGCCTCTTATTTATGCAAAAGTTTGTCCTGTCGTGTCACTTTTTTTATTGAAAGATTTACATGCATACCACTCAATTTTTATGTATTCACATTTTTGACATCTAAACTTGTATTTTACATATATGTCATCTTAGCTATGCATGAAAAGTTTTATTTAGCTTTTTTAAAGTCGAAATAGTGGTATTTTGGATATGATATGAAAGAATGGGGTGGTATAAATGTAAAAACTAAAGTTTAGGTGTTAAAAATGTAAATACGTAAGAATTAAGTGGTATGCATTTAAATGCCCCTTTTTCATTTCATAGTTCGGAATGTCATAATGTAGTTTGGACAGTAGTATTTGGCTTTCGTCATTGGTAACAAAAGCTTGATTTTTATGTAAAAGTCAACATTAATGTACCGTAGCCCAAATGTTTGTTTTTAGACAATTTCAAGCAGTGCTAGATGGTGATGGGTGGTGGTGTTCTTTCCTTTTGAAGCTGTTTTCTAACTTTTTTCATTTGAATATTAAAAACACAGATTCTATAAGGACAAATTATGATGTCTATTATTGAAGATGAACAAGTATCATTATATTTTTTTGGTCACTTGTCACTTTTGCATTTTAATTGTTTCGTAAGCTCTTGTGTTTGTTTTATTACAAAATGATGTCATGGACATGCAATGAAAGTAGTTTACATTCAATAGACCTTGCTTATTGGAAAAAAAACATCTAACTTCCCTTATTAAAAATGCCATCCAAATTTTATTACATTAATAAAATTGTTATATTTTCACCACTTGATTTGTTTTGAGTTCTTAGTGCCTCTATCCCTATAAGCTCTCCTTGCTATATTATGAGCGCTTTTTTTCCCTCTTTCAGCTGTAGGTTGCCCGCTTGATCTTCTTCCCCAGCTTAACCAGCTCGTCCTCCTTTGTTCTTCTCCCTGGTCCGGTCCCTCTTTGCTTTTTCCACCCTCTAATCCTCTCCCCATGAACTAGAAAAAATTGCTTGCCTTCCAACTCCCCCATAGCTTATGCTTCTCGCTCATATGTTCCAGATGTTGATGAAACCACAAATTTATCTAAAGATGTGTCCAAAAGGAAAAAGATTGGAGTCTCGCACTTGTTGGGTATATTGTAGATTGTAAACTTTTCTTGAAGCGTATTTTTGTGTGTTATTCTGCCACTCAGAAGGGGTACGTTTGTTGTAGCCCGATAAAGAAGAGACTGTTTGTGAGTATGGATGTGACCTTTAGAGAATTCAAACCACATTGCTCCTTGGAGGTGACCTCAACATTTAGTGACTCGTCAGATACTGATGGTATGAGGCAAGAGGGGGAGAGTGGTGATGGTGAGAGATTGATACAGGTGGTAATGATGCTTTGTCCCCTTGTGTGGGAAGGATCCATTGGAGAAGAGCCGAAAAATGAGAAAAATGAGTCTGCAGGTGGTGGAACTTGAGCTCAAAGGGAGTTGATGGTGTATACAAGGAGGAAAAGGTAGAATGAGAGAACAATGCATGTGGTGTCACTCGTGCGAACAAGTCTCTTGTTTCGGTCTATCCTGACTTCTGAGACACTTACACCATCCATTTTGGAATTTGATTACACAGGTGATGTGATTCTTCTCTCTTCTCCTTCCACTCCCATAACTTTAAGAAGGAACCCTCGTAGCAATACAAATTATCCTCTTGATCATTATTCTCCTAATCGTTTTGGTTTTTCACATAACATTGCTCAGTTTGTCTCATACTCTTAACATATTGCCTTTACATGGAGTATTCGTTGCATCTTTTGACACGGTCTCTATTTCTAAGTGTTGGCAGATAGCTGAGGATCCAAAGTAGAAGGCTGCAATGCTGGAGGAACTTAGTGTTCTCGATAAAAATGAGACATGGAAGCTCGAGTTGCTACTAGAAGGGATAAAGAATTTTGGGTGCAAATGTGTCTTCATAGTGCAACATACCTCAGAAGGAAAAATTGATCACTACAATGCACCGTTGGTGGAAAAAGGGTATAGTCTGACGTAGAATATCGAATATGATGAGACATTTGCACCAGTGATTTAGATGAGAACAGTCAGGACACTCATTTTTCTAGTTGTGAATGGTGGATGAAGGTTACACCAACTATATGTGAATAATGCGTTTCTTCACGGTGTTCTGCCAGAGGAGATGTACATGGAGGTACCCTCAGACTTCGACACAAACAAACAGTGGACAAGATTTGTAGATTGATAAAAATTAATGTATGGTTTGAAATAGTCTCCTCTGGCTTAGTTTGACAGGTTCAAAAAAAATTGGTGGGGATGGGGTATCAACTGATCAATATTGACCACACAGTGTTCTTTCGACGACATGACGATTGCATTTCTATTCGTGTTGTGTATATGGATGATATGATTGCCATTGGGATGATAAGTGAGAGATTGCTCAGCTGAGGCATGTTTGGGGTGAAAGACTTGGAACGACTTTGATACCTTCTCGAAATTGAAGTGGCTCGTACAACACAGGAGATTGTTATATCTCAGAGGAAGTGTGCTAGACTTGCTTACCGAGACAGACATGTTGGGATGCAAGCTTGCAATTTCACTAATTGATCGAAAGGAAAAGTTGAGCGGAGAGGTAGGAGAGTCCGTTGATTACGAGAGGTACCAGAGGTTAGTAGTTCATCTCATCTATCTGAGTCACCCTCGTTCCAATATATTATTTTCTGTAAATGTGGTGAGTCGCTACATGCATGATCCGAGGAAGGGTCATCTGGATGCAATATATCATATTTTGAGGTACATGAAGAGTACACCAGTGAAGGGGTTGATCTTTAAGAAGAAGGAACATGCAATCAGTGAGGGGTATTGTGAATCCGACTGGGCGAGTTGTATGGATGACAGGTGATCCAAATCTGGATATTGCTTGTTCGTAGGGGGCAACTTGGTCTCTTGGAAGAGCAAAAAACAATCAGTAGTAGCGAGGTTAACAACAGATGTAGAGTATAGAGCCATGGCCTTAGTAGTTGTTGAGATGATGCGACTGAGAGCCTTGTTGATAGAGCACAAGGTGGACCAAGGTGCTCAAATGAAATCATGGTGCGACGACAACAAATGGGCGCAACATGATAGAACCAAACATGTGGAGATTGATAGGTTCTTCATCAAGGAAAAGTTGAATAACGTACCACTGGAGCTAAGTCACGTAGCCACCAGAGAACAAGGGGCTGACTGCCTCACCTAAGGACTTAGCTCATTAGATTTTTCTTGGTTATGTGACAAGATGGGTTTATTGATATCTTTTGCCCATTCCGAAGGTGAGCGTTGAGATTTGTATTTAATGTAAGGTCGTATTTGTAAATAGGAGATGTTTAGGTTTAGGGATTTCTTTGTAAATGTTGTAAGGCTCTACATAAACTTAATGCATTGATGAAATAAGTAAATTTTTACCAAAAAAATTTATTTTGTTATACATAAAATCATTGGTGAGTTGGTTCTCCTTAAGCTATAGATTCCTTCATGATTTCTAAATCAAGACTTTTGCCAAAGTTAGTGCTAAGATTCCACCCAATTTATACTACTAGACTATATTATGTTGGATCTAGATTAAACAAATTTTTACCTATGAACGGAATCCCACGTGCTTTTATATATTGGATACATCCTCACATGACTCTATTAAGTCCTATTAAATCTAGTTATTTCTAGGCAGAAGATTGAATCCCATCTAAATAAGGGAAAAGGCTTTAATAAAGCATAGACAACTACTCTTCATGAGCCGAGTATGTTTTATTGTTGACCGTTAAATATATTTCACGAGTCAAATCAGATATGAAGAGAGCAACAAACAATGAATGCGCATTACACGATCAAATTTTAAATATCTCTATCACTCCCGAAATCACTTGAGATATACCTATTTGCAAAACAGACTTCACCATTGAGTTTAGAGTATTAAATTACGTAAAGAGTGGTCTTTCATGATTGAACGAAGTAGACATGACAAAAACAATATTCTGCCAAAATGACACGTGTAATACAAACCTGAATTGTATTAATCATTTTTGAAGTTGCTCAAATGACGTTTGTTCACAAAATAGGCAATGCGAGCGTGTCCGACACGTTAAAATTACCTAAGAATATTCCTTTTGTGATCAAAATGATTAAGCGAGCCTAAAAAGATAAAATGCCAACATGATATACGCGATTTAAAGTCAAGTTGATTCGGTCGTTGTCGAAAGTATCGAAATGACTCCCGATTGCAAAACAGGTTGTGCGAGCACATCCAAAATATCAAAATTAGTAGGGATCGATACCTATATTGTTTTGGTCTTGCATATGAATCATCAACAAGAATTTCAAGATTTGTCGTGATTTAAAATGCACGAAAAGTGATAAACTATGTGGATACCAACACTCTGATTCAACAAAATATATCAAAAATTAAATCAACATTATTGTGTGTGTGTGGGTGGGTGTGTATTCTTTTTATGCTATCAAATTTATCTTCTTTGTGAAGCCAAGCCACCGCTTATATCATCTCTTCCCCCATTCCTTTGTTGCACTCATGGACGAATCAAATTTGGCCAATCTGATTCTCCTCTCTACATGGATCGAAGTTGATAAGATTGAACCCTTACTGAGTTGGTTTAACTCTGCTTCTAACTAGGCCGAAGTTGTGAGACTAATCTTGAATTGATAATTTGAATTGATTACACAATTAGTGGTTTCATAATAGGCATGAGTTGATTAGTGGAATGAATATAGGAGATATGACAATAGCATTAATTTTGAATTAAATATAGGAGATATGACAT